GGGTTCAAGGAGACAGAAGCAGACATAGAAAAAGAAGCATAGATACAAAAGGCAACTGTCAACCAGCTCCAGAGAAACAGGACTACACTGGAAAACAGGCTAAGCTCCAACATCTAGAAACAAAGGTGTTGATGGCAGCAGCACAGCTGATATTTCTCTCAGCAGAGAGAGCAGAACGTTAGAGATTAAACTATGAAGCCAGCTTTTCTTTATTGCTACTGGGGCTGAAACTAACGATTATTTTTCAAATCGATTATTCTGTTGATTGTTTTTTCCTATAAATCAATTAATAATCGGATAACCAAAGGTTGCTTCAATAAGATTTTTATTACAAAATCAAACCAGGTGAAACTAAAACTTTTCCACCCAACTTTTTTCTCTCAAATGCAAAAATGTTTTTGTTTTTTTTTTTTTTACAATCTTGGTATAATTCCTATTCTAACTGTCACTCTGTCATGTATAAGCATGTTTTAGAGTGTCTATATTCCAGTTAAAGATAAATCAATTACTTAATTAGTTGGCAATTATTACAATAATTAATCTAATAGTTAATCCGCTTGTTTGAGAAAATAAGGGTGAGCAGGAAGCAGGATGGTGAAACATGTTCAGTTCATGGCTGCTTCTCCCAGCAGAGGTCAGAATCTGTGACATCATCATCTCCGTATTGTCTTCCAGGTTGTCCGTGACGCCCAGTCCAACACCGAGGAGATGACCAAGTCTTTCAAACGCCTTTCTGCTTCCAGCACCGGAAGCACGCGGAGCAACCACTCCTGTTCTTCCCTGGACATGGTTCCTGTCCGGGACACCTCGTCTCTTCCAGCCTCTGGTTCCGGCCAAGGAAAACCGCTCCTGTTGGACCTGGATCAGGCCATGGAGCGTCTCTCCCGGCTGCAGCAGGCCGTGGAGTCCAGCGTTTCCCTCATGATGTCATTCATCACAGGGAACTGGAGGAGTCCTGCTCACCTGGAGGGAAACCTTACCGCCATCCACCAGGCGGCGGACCGGGTGCGAGCCACCGTTCGAGACTTCCTAGAATTTGCTCGAGGCGCAGTTACAAACGCTGCTCAGGCCACAGACCGCTCGCTGCAGACCAAACTGGGCCGGCAAGTGGGAAAGATGGAGGACGTCTTTCAGAGTTTGATTCGGCACAGTCAGAGCTTGGACGCCATCTCGTGGTCCCCCACAGCTCTATCCGCTCCGCCGCCAGGGGGCGATGACTTGGATCGACTGATCATGACAGCGAGAGGCATCCCTGACGACGCCAAGCAGCTGGCCTCCTTCCTCCACGGTAACGCCTCGCTGCTCTTTAAAAGGACAACCAGGCAGCAGCAGCTGCCCCTTCCTCCGATCCCGGGGGACGTCAGCGGTCACATGACCGGATCAGGAAGCGGAACCTACCAGGGAGGGGAGAAAGTGCACATTCAGTCCCGCCCCCTCCCTTCGCCACCCAAAATTACAGCTCCTGAGGAGGAGGATGGCGTGGACAGGCTGTACGAGGTCACAGAGGAAGGCTGGATGGAGGACTATGACTACGTCCATTTACAGGTAACCTCACCTTAACCGCCAGCTGGGCTTCAGCTGCTCGGCTCTCTGTCTCATGTATAGCGAGCCTTTACACTCATATGACGGCCATGTTGACCTAGCATCATTTAAAGCTGGGATTTAGTGGGGATTTATTCAGCATCTGATATGATGCAAAATAAATCCCCTCCATTTCAGTTAGAGGAGGAGGAAGAAAGCAGGACACTGATGGACGGCCAGTTCTGTCCTCCTACCAGCGGACATCACTGTCCCTAAGCCGGACTGATCCATCAGGTGGAGCTTTGGGGATCTGGGATCGTCTGGTTGTGTCTGCTTCTACAGGGAGTTATATGTGTCACTACTGATCCGTCCATCAGCTCATCATCAACCAGATATACATCCGGGTCACCTTCATTTTACTTTGTAAAAAAGACATAAATTACTGTTTTACCTCCCTAAAAATAGTAAGCGCACTAAACTATAATGTGTTAAAGGTTAATAATGTATTTTCTGATAAAATAAATGCACTTAAATCCTTTCTGTTTTATCCCTCGTCTGTTCCCGATCTGAACCAACAATGACTCAATTTGCTGCACATGTTCAGAAAGGTCCAAACAGACAGCAGCAAACCATTTGAAAACAAACGATGCAAAGAGCAGTGTTGCCAACTTAGCGCTTTAATCGCTATATTTAGCCACTTTTCAGACCCCTCTAGATCTTCGATTTCTAAAAAGCAGCGAACTCTGCTCTCCAGAGCAAGTAGATTGGTAACCCCGCCTCCTGCTCTCCTCTATCTTGTCTGCTGTCATGATTCATGCAGCTATTATTTCATCCAAATGAAAAATGGAGAA